ACAGTTGCCTTTTATATATATATATGTTTTATCGATTTGATTTCAGTTTAGTTCGTTACACTTCAAGCCTGACAGTTCGCTGTACATTGAAGTTTAAGATTCGTGTAACTTTGGAATTTGAACCTAGTATGTTTATTACACCAGACTCTTAGCTTAATTTTAATCCAAAACTTTAATTATTCAAACTCAAAAACTTTAATTGTAGCTTTCATAGACAAAATATAATCCTTAAATCTTCTACTTCTAAGTAACCATTTCATGTAGTGCAAAAAAATGCCAGATATTTGAGATTCAAACTGAATATTCAATTGATTTAAGATTCAAGCTAAGTTATAAGCTTGAAATTTACTCTGCCATCTTGTTGAAAAATTAAAAGAGCTAAAAAACCAATAAATTGTTTGAATTTTTTTTTAAAAAATACATTAAACTACTTTATAAAACTGTCTATTTAGAGAGATTTTTCCATTTAAATGAAAATCCTTAACATGAAACGTTAATTGTAAACTTTTGCATACATTAATAACTCTAAATAAAGTAAAAGAGGACTTACTTTTCAACTTTACTACTTTTAACTTAACTGCTTTTAACTTTTCAAGCATTAAAAAATTGATCAAAAATGCTTTTGATTTTTTTCAAAACTTTGACCTTTCCTCAAAATGACATTTTGAATCTTTTATCGAATCATCATAGTGGACGCTGAATAGAGATGGACAAAATATAACTTAATATTTATGAATACCTGTTGTGAACTTATAAAATAAATATTATTAGAGAAAATCATTATTTCGAGTGTCGAAGATAGGTTTTATCCCTGCAATACATTACAATTATGAATAAATCTAAAGTTTAAACTTTTTAAGTGCTGTTTGTTGTAGTTTTTGCTATTAAAAAATACAAACATATGCTAATAATGTTACTTTAATAAAGAATTTAAATAAATTACATTCATAAATAGAATTTTGAAAGCATTAAAATGCTAGAAGAGGCTATCAACAGAAAGTCACCAAACAGCCTTTTCTTCATAATGAACCCTTTCGCACATAGATATTTTGGCAGCTTCTTCCTGAAAAATATCAAGAAAAATGTCTAAAACAAAAAAATCAATAAGTCTCATCATAAATAAGTTAAAAAAAGACTGATTTCTTAAGCAAAATCAAACTGCAGGTGAAATAAAAAAAACAAATAATTGAACTATGTTCCTTCCGTGCTTTTTCCTAAATATTGTAACTTTTAGTTTCCTAAATTTTTGCAAAATAAAAAAAAAAATAAAAAAATTTCTACGTCCCCTCCAAAAACTAAAAAGCTTCTTATTTTTTAACCTTTATTTTTTAATGGTTTTGATATTTTTATGCAGCATTTCAAACTATATTGTTAAGATACTCAAAATGTATCTAATTACCAATACGTTCATATTGGAAACTTTTAATTTCATAGTACAAGGAGAAAAAAATTCAAATAAAATTACCACACTGTTATGATAACGAATATATAGAGTATTTAAACCATTCATTTGGTAATTATTCCTCTTCCTATAGCTAAGGTATCACGATAAAATTACTAAATTTTACCACATTTACTAAATTTTATCGCAGATTATAAAACCATATTTTACCAAACTTATTAGCAAAGTGCTTCGGTAAAAACTACCGAGCTTTTTGATGTTCTATAGAGCCAGGGACAAGGTAAATTTTACCATCTTCTGGTAGTTTTAGCCATGCTTTTTTCTCTGTGCACTTTTGATGAAAAAAAGTATATTAGCTTCCAGTTTAAATCAGACATTATTAATTTATCAATTTAATGTTGACTATTGGTTTGAAAAAAAATGGCCTCATTTATAAAGTAATGAGGTCGGCTTTCAATCCATTATCTATGTTTTATACTCCTCCTAGTACGTGTAACACATTATTTCTAACCATCTCATGCAGTTACATTAAATTAACAATACATAACATTAAAAAACGTTATTTTGATAATATCTATTTTAATTATTTAAAAATTCAGGTAGCAAATAGACTCATAAATTTATTAAAAAAAAATATAGACAGATAAATTTTTAAAAAAACATATTCAAAAACCTTTTTTTTCCGCCAAATTTTTTATGTTCTCCTTATTTTGGACTTTTTAATGTAAACAGAGAGTAGTAAACATCTGAAGGTTTTACTTCAACTTCAAAAATTAGTTAAATAATCTGTAACAAGGTACATTTATTTTAACCTAGCTAACTGCTTCACTGTAAAAATGGGTTTCTGAAAATTGAGCAAAGTTATGTCAAAAAAAGCTCCTAAACAAGGATAGCCGAATTTGAAAACCCCGTGTACATTTTGTCGTTTGTTTTAAAGTGTCTCTTATAATACAAAATTAAAAAGGTTTATATAATTTTTAGATTCAAAACAAAACAAGTTATTAATTTTAAAGTGTGCTCAGGTTTTTGAAAATTAACTCTCCTTCAAGTTTCTACTGACTCACTATAAGCCTTTAATGTCCTCTGTCCCATTTATTAATTAACTTGTCTTATATCGTCAATCAGGAATTCTACAGTAACCAATGTGATGGTGGTATAACCCATCTTGGAAACCAATTGTTCCCTTCCAAATATCAATATCAGCTTATAATTTTTTCCCCTCAAATAGAGCTCCGATTTTCTTTATTTACTCTGAAAAAGCGATGAAAAAGATAATTTTCTTCCCTTAAACAAAATGCTTATAGTTAATATAAGACAAAATAGTTATCGTTAAGTTAAGACAAAATAGACAAAACCAAAAATCAATAAAATGTGTACAAGATTAACCGTATATCACCATTAACTGTTTTCCATAGACAAGCTTATTGTGAAACAATGGCATGTCAAAAAATGCAAACAATTACATACCATATATGTAAAAAATATTGTAAAATGATGTTTGCTGTTAAAATATATTAAGCTAACAGAGAAACTTGTGATTGGTTATTGCTTCACAATAAGTTTTTTACTATGAAACTTGTTCTTTAATCACTAACCTAAATATATGTTTTCATAATCCATAAAAAAAAGTCTGAAAAATTATACTTATTAGGTATCACAGTTGCCTTTGAAGAAAAAACAATTACATCCTATATTAAAAAAAGTACTTTTAGAAAAGTTTCGTCGATTTTGCCTTAGTTGAAGAGTTATGAATTATTCTAATAGTAAGTTTAGGAAAGAATTTATAACGTAACACAGAAATTTAGCAAAATGTACAATGGCGAATAAATTGGGAAAACCACGTTTAAGATATTTAAAAATATTGATTTCAACCAATTATTATTATCTTAGTAAAGAATTACAACAGCAGAATTGTGCAGAAAGATTGGAATTTGTTACTCAGAACACTAGAATTTCTTTTATTCTAGTTTTAAAACTTAATGTATTAGTTAGAATCTTGAAAACACGTAAATTACATCTTTCCTAGATTTCAAAATTTATTTAATTTATTAAACTTACTTTTTTATCTCTCTTAATCGAATTTCAGTTTAATTTTAATTTAACTGAAATTCGATTAATTAATATGCCGACTGTGGCATCACAAGGTTGGCAAAGTACTGAAGATAAGAATTGCAGTTTTTGACCTAATTAACAGGCTAATGGTTACTTCGAAACAGGTAAAATAATTTCCATGAGTGATTTTTTTACAGATGGTTTTTACATGTGGAAAAATGTAAAAACCATCTGTAAAAAATTCAGCTCGATTGACAAATGACACTTCATGTACTTTCACTGTAAAATTTGCTTTTACTGTGCATTAAGGATTCCTTTCAGACTGTAAAAATGATTCAACTTTCATCATATTAACAATCAGAGCGCAACAGAATCTCGTGAGCGTAATTACCAATTTTTTCTTTCAGTTTTTTTTTATTTAATTATAACCTTTGAAATCGCTTCTAATGATTCTAATACTATTTTTTTTATTTAGAAGTATTTTTGAAACTACTCCGAATAAAAAATATAGCCAGAACTGCCAAAATATATTAAAATTTTCTGTGTTTCTGGCTCTATGGGAGAAGCAAAAATCTCGGTAATTTTTACCGAAGCACTTTGGTAATGATTCCATTAAAATTAGCAATAAAATATGATTTTGTTATCTGTGATTAAATTTGGAAAATATGGCAAAATTTGCTAATTTTATCATGATACTTTAGAGCGTGGCATAAACACTATTTATTCGATTACAGCATTTACTCCTCAGTTTCGCATTTATTACAAAATATGAGGTAGTAAAATCTATATTTTTCTAAGCCAGAAATTCCAGTAAACTGATACCATACGAAAGGATGAATTAACAAATGAATGGTTTAAATACCGTATATTTTTGTTTTATTATCAAAAATTATAGTTTTTTACTAGAAATGTTATTACCATACAAGTATGGTAGTTTTACCAACGTTTTTTTTTTCTGCGTGCCCTTCATAGTTTAAGTTTTAAAAAAACTTACAACCTTGTTATTATTGATAACTGATTCAATGGAATTTGTTTCAATGAATAATATGAGACAGAAAATATGAATTAATGACTAAATGCATAAATAAATTGCTTCCATTTAATCCTCTTCTAAGAGGAACCATGGTTAACATGGATGAAGTTGAGTTTTTAATCTCTCTAAAAGGAACCTTAAGACCACAGGATTTTAAACATTAGTCCACTTCAAACGATATATTTACTTCAGCCTTAATATTATATAGCCTTAATAAATCATATTACCATCAACTTTAATTCTTTTTAATTTTCATTACAAGATTCTAATGTTACAACTTAGAAGGAGACAAGAATTACGTTTTTCTTTTATTAAGATTTCCAAGAGTTTACGCGATAATGTAGTTTAAATTTTTGGATATTATGTGTATATTTTAATATTATAATTAAAGTGCTCACAAAATCAAATAGAATATATAGAATTACCTTTACGACTTCAAGAATTGATAAAAGGGCTTCAGATTGTAGCAGAGAACAATCCATGCTTCTTTTGCCTCCGGGTTTCCATCCACGATTAGTTTCACCAGTGCCTAAGGAGCTATGAATAGTTCCAGCTTCTAATAAACATGAAGTTGACAACAGAATGATAAGGAGAGTAAAGAACAGCTCGCTTCGGAGGGATATCATGGTGAAACTTTATTCCTTCGTTTATGGAAATGTCAAAAATTTTGTTAAACTGAAAAGACATGAAACATTTTGTGTATTTCTTGCTTAGTAGGATAAACATTAAAAAAATCAATATGCGCATTTTTCAGTCTTTTTAGGTGGGTAGTTTTACACTTTTGACTTCTCGGTGTAGGCCACAAATCTCTTTTTTTTAAAACTTTATGATAAAATTCAGATTGTAAAAATTGAAACACAAATTATAACCTTATTTTATCTGAAATAGAAGTATTCTTATGAATTTTCAAAAACTCTCTAAGCCCTTAAATAACATTGTTACCTATTTTTTTACCTCAATTCCTCAAAACTAAAAATGTCAACATGAAAAAAGCATTTTCTCTAAAACTGCTGTACTAATAAACTTGAGTTTCGTATTTAAGTATTACATATAATGCTTAGATCAATTTATTAAGAGCTGTTTCTTAAATATCGATTTAAAAGGCTTTATCACTTTGTGAAAATTTTTAAGAATGCTTTTTTTGGGAAAATTTCGTACTGTACAAAACAAACGTAAGTAAATTTTTCTGAAGCAAATTTTAACCAAATATTAAAAAACAAGCTCTCTCAATAAATTCTGTAAATTTACTTTATTAGTCTATAACTGTAAGGCACTAGAGTGTTTTTACGAGCAGTGTCCGCTTAAGCACGCAGGATGTTCAAAACTACACCAAGTCATTTTTTTCAGTGTCAAATACCTTCAAATGAAAGCTTTTCAGTGACGTCATGAGAAAGCGCTTTATTTTCTAGCTTAAAATCCGCATTACTGTATCACGCTCCTTGCTTTCTGAGGATCGCAAACCCCTAAGGATTGCCACGCGATATTACACTTTGCGAACCAAGCTCACTTTCTTCACAATCAAGATGGCCTGATTTGAAATGCAATTTAACATAATACACTAATTAGTCAGATCATTTATAAGAATGTAAATGATTTACTCTATTTTAGCACTTAAAATTGAATGCAATCAAAAGATGAGAAGATAACTATAATTTTAGCTACTCTTCTAAATATCCACATAAATAACATGACACAGAAAAATTGCTAAAGCTGTATTACAGCAGAAATATTTAAATATTATATTAGCATAAATATTTGTCATCAATGCTTTATTTCGCTCGTTCAAGGCACTTTTTTACTGTAAGTAAATAACGCAGCAGTGAGACTAACTTTCATATTTTATTGGTAATTTACAACTCATTTTTAGTCAGAATTGAAGGGTAAATGACAACTCATTGGTAATTTACAACTCATTTTTAGAAATGAAGGGTAAAGAAGAGCGCCTTAAATCGTATATTAGTGCACTTTTGAAAACCATTTTCGAAACATCAGGACGCTGTGCTTATATACTATGACCATAATTATGGTACCACGGTGCAACAATGGCCAATTGGTTTCCGAACATGTTGAAACTAAGTTGACGAATGTTAATCATTACCTAAAATAGCTATTTAAAAATTGCGTATTCAGAATCTGGAATATTCTAGCGTATTCTGAATCCAATTACAGCAAAAATTTTTACAACAAAGGTAAGTTTAGCTTTTTGATTCAATTCGCTTTAATAAATTTTCATAATCACTGTGATGTTGAATATTTTGAAATTTTTATACTAATAATTAAATGATCTGGAACTTTAAATGTTTCGTTTCACAAGACAATTTTCCCACGTTTTGCCAATTATCTTATTGTTTATTCATCTTATAAATTACTAAGGATAGCAGAATGAAATTTTAGACCAATTCTCAAAATATTTAAAATTAATATGTCAGCAAAAGATTGAAAAATATTTCCTTTGAAAAATAGTTAAATACTTCATCAAAAACTGCAGCAAAATCGGCAAAATGAATCGTTCTAGTTAAGCTTTAATTCACATTTAAGTATTCATCAGTAGTGATATTAAAAACTGGAAACACCCCTTAAATGGCACTTCAAAAAAACTGAAATGTATATACACTTTTTTAAAAAGTTTCAAATATGTACTCTCTTTTGAAATAAATACATAAATTTATAGTTTTTTATTATTTTAGTTACGCTTTAATTAACATTTCAGTTTTTATAAGTCATGCTATTAAAAACTGAAAATATCACTTAAATGGCTCTTCAAAAAAGCTGAAATGTATATATGCACTTTTTAAAAAAAGTTTCAAATAAGTACACATTTTTCATAGATTTCATCATTCTAATTGAGTATTAATTCATATTTCAGTATTTATCAGCTATACTATTAAAGACTGGAAACACCATTTAAATGCAGTTCAAAAAAGTTCAAATATATATATATATATCCTTAAATAACATTGTTACCTA